GCCTGGCTCCGCTCCGTCGCTGAGGGAGGGGGAGGCGGCGCCATCTTTTGTTGTTCTCTCAGTGGAAGGGGGGAGGAGCGAGTGCGCTTTCCTTGAGGAAGAGTTGGGCTGTATGTTTGCGTGTGTTCAGAAACGAGGAACAATTAAGTAGTATCCACGATATGGATTTGGGGCAGTGACGTTGTTCTTGTTTTTAATAAAAACCCTACAAAGAAGTAATTCGGGTTTTTAAGCCTAGAGAGGTGAGTTGGCTTTGAATTAGTTTATTTGTGAGGAAGACAGAAATAAATCTTTCCTCGTGCCTTTCAGAGTAGTTTGGGAAGATTGGCATTGTATAAACCCTGTACACTGGAAGGGCTATACTAAAAAAAAAATGAAAAAGGATAGTTTAGAGGGTAAGGTCTGTGTAGAAGACAAAATAGCTCTCTTCTGAAAAATTAAACCCAAGATTATTGTATTCTTAAAATTCCAGCAAGTTCAACTGAATGTTCTGATCAATGAACATCTGTAAGTGTGTGACTCCATCAGAATTGCTCTTGCCATTTCTAGCATTTATACCCTGTATTAATTAAGATCGTGCTTTTTGGACTGTGAAGGACATGCGTATTTTACTGTTGAAATTCCTAGTAGGGAATTAGTGTATATTTAACTTCTGTAAAGAGGGAATGTGGAAACACTGTGTAGGTAGCCTCCTATTTATTTTTTTTGTAATAAATTACATTTATTTAAATTAATAAATTTGTTCTTTGTTTTTCCAGGGCAAATGTGGCTTTTAATTTTTTGTGTATTGCAATGTTCTTGTTTTGTTTTTGTTTCTTGTTATCAGGGATATTTCACCAAAAAATGGCAGTGAAGTATTTTTCTCACATGAAATTTATGAAAAATATTCATTGGCTCCAAGCTTGTCTGACCTATGGCATTTATCAAACAGGTATATTCTGTTATGTTATAATTTTGTGCTGTTTGTCATCATCCTATTGATACATACCCTTACTGTTTTGAGGGTAACCTGCGTGTTATCCCGTGGGCGAGGATTTGTTACCAGCTCCTTGGTCAGCAGTTGGTCTGTGCTTTGCCTCTCGTGAAACCTCTGAAAGCGGGAAGAGTCTAGGTTGGGACCTCTGGTCTTTTGTGTCTTTTAGAGTATGGGGTGGTATTTTGGGGGTTTTGGGGTGAGGTTTGGGTTGGTTTTTTGGGGGGCGGTGCTTGTTGTTTTTTGCTTTCTCTAATGTACCAAAGAGGGATGAAGTCTGACCCACATTCTTAACTGGTCACGGTAAGGATTGTGTAACCCATGAACCAGACCTAATTATTTTTAGGAATTAATGTCTTGCTGTCTGTCCATGTCTTTGCACTCTGTAGAAGGCTGATGATAGTGTACATTGAAATCCTTTTTACTTCTGTCTTTTGGAAGTAGCCAGCACTGTTTACATAGATCCAACAGTGTCTTAGGTGCAGTGGAGATGCAATTAATTCCTTGAGTAATGAAGAAACTGTAGGAAAGTGTTAGCTGAAGAACAGAAAATGATATTATGTGAACACAGGTGGTACAGGTAGTATTGATTGTGCAGTTTTGATGTCCATTTTATTTTCTTAAGTTGATGAAGTAGAATCAACATTTGTTTCACATAGTGAAAAGCATAGCTCATGCTGCCAAGTTTCAGAAGTTGGAGGAATGTATTTATGCTATTGGGTTGTTTTAAGAGGTCATAAGGGAGTTACCAGTGGCAAGTGTCTTGTGAATGAACATTCACACCACAAAGAATGTGGATGGGAGACCGAGGTGTAGCTACTGTGCTGTTAATGGGGAATTCAGCGTGTGGAGAAATAATTTGTTGTAAAGGGGAATTACTGTATTTTTGTGAACTGACACCGCGAACGCATATTTGAGGGGAATACCAGTCTACATAACATGACTTTCTGTATCCCACATTTTTAGCTAGAGAAGGTTTTTCTGGTTCATCTCTGTTGGAGCAACTTTCCCTCAACTGGCAGAGAAGAGCACAGCCCTCACAGCTTGCTACTGGGTACACTGGATATTACTGTGGGATTCTTCCTTTAGATTATGTGGAAAAAGTGTTTCTGGAGTAGACATGACTGCACTCAAGGGTGGGATTGTGTTCAGTTGTGTATGGTAGAAGTGAGTTTATAGCCAGAAGAAAGGTTGCAGCCAGAAAAAATTCAGAAATTGATAGAACTGAGTTGTGTGGCCATAGTCAAGAGGAACAGAAATGGAACATGTTGGGGCAAACGTGAAAGTAAAAGCTGGAGGAAATTTGTCAATTTTTATATTGGGGTTTGTGATAGATATGTACTAAAGTGTATGTATTCTCACTATAGAAGCTATGAAGGCAGGTTGCTGATAAAATGAAGGGCAAGAATTTAAGCCATCAGCTCAAATAAAGTATAATGCTATAAATATGGACAGAAAAGCTCTGTCAGATTATTTTGGTTTGCACCCTGATGAAGACTGTGACAGCACTGCATGCTGAAATGATCTTGATGTGCTGCCATTTCATTCAGTGCTGAATATAGCCAATTTAAGCTGCTAGAATTTCTTGATATTCCTACATTGGCATATCTGAGTCAGCATCTTGTCACTGCTGCAGCTTAATTAAATTTGCCAGTTTGTGCCACAAGGATGGACACATTCTCGTATTCAGAGAGACAGCTGTGAAGTATTATTAAGAACTGTGGACGTGATACTGTTGGGTTTGAATAACACTTGAGATGTTTTCTACTGCTGAAATCATATCTTAAAAATATGCTTTTTCCAAGATCAGCAGTTAATGTTCATTTTGTTAACCTTAAATATATTCTCTCTTAAGAACAGTTATTTTAAGTAGAGCAGGAGGGCTAAGATGGCCTTTTAAGAATCAGCTTTATAATGATACTTCTTTGTTGTTAGGGCAGCTACGCCTTAGCCCGATAGTATTTTTGCCACTGATTTCAGCACTGTTTAGAAAGTGAAATTCTTGAATTGTGTACTCTGTTTTTAGGAATTTCTTCATTGAAATCTGGAATTTCTATTGTTAAAATTAAGTAGTATTAATTTACTTCTTTTACAGTGGAAGGAAACGCCTTTTCTAGTGAAGTCTTTCTCCTTTACTATCATAACTTTGACTCCTAAATTAGAGCTTTCTGAGTGCAAACGGTTTCTGAACACCAGCTGTCAGTGAATGATGAAATGTTAAGGGTCTCTATCTTTCCATTAATAATGCGTGTTTCCAGGACAAAGAATCAGTTTCATATTTAGCTTGTCACATCCGTATTGAGTATACAGACCAATATAGTCACTATTTTGGTTTTAAAAAATAATTTTTTTTTTCTTTATACCAGTGGCAAACCTGCTGTTGGTACTAAGGGTTAGTCTGATTGTCCAGGTGAAGTTTCAGTATAAGAAAATTCCTATGACATAGACTAGGAATTGGAAGAGTATAGTATCTCACAGTGCATTTTGCTGGATTTGAAATTTAGGCTTGCATGACTGCCTTTATTAATTCTGACATATTAATACTTATATTAAAAGTGCAAGTTCTGTCATTTATTGCTTTTTTTTCAGAGAGGCAAAGAAAAATGTGGAGGCGTTGGCAAACTCTTCAGAAAACAGACAGACTTGTAGCATGCAGGCTGCAGATCCGGTTGAGGTGGAGGCTAAAAGCACAAGTGATGATCATCCTTTTCCAGAACCTAGACTCCCCTATCCATTTACCTCTTGTTTGACTGAGAAGGAGCAGAAAACATACTTATATCTGATGACTAAGTACTCAAAAAAAATAAACCATTTTCAAGTTAATGCAGCAAGTCAAAGAGAATTATGCACATATCTGGTAAGTGTACATATATGTATGTATGAACATCACAGAGGGAGTCATACAACTTCTTTGTTACAAAGAGTTAAGGAAAATGTAGCAAAAATGTTTTTTCAATTCCATTTGTCATAATTTCCTTTTAACATAGTATTATGAATGGTAATAAAGGTTTAAAGTATTCAGGATAACATTTTTAGTATAAATTGAAAGTATATTTGGTTATTTCATTGAAAGTGAGTGGGGGTTTTGTGGAATTTTTTTCTGAGTTTTTTTTTTTAGTCGTAGTCTAAACAGCTGATGGTAAGTGTAGATCTGTGATAGCTGATCAAACACCCACCCACCTCCAAAACACTCAGGTTTTTTTAATAAGAAGGATGTTAAGAGTTGACCTTACTGTGGGGTTTTTTTGCATTTCATAATGGCATGTAGCAGTCTTGTATAATGTTAAGAGATGGATGCATTTTGATGTGATCTTTGACAGCATCCTTTAATGGGAGCTTTCTTCATTAGCATGTGAAGGGACCTGTGCCTTGACCTTCCATGCTTGCCACATCAGTGCTTATGGGAGTAGAAAGGCACAAGTTCACACTTGCTGCTTAGTCTCAACATTGTTGTTTAAATAGTGAAAGGCTACATCTCCTGTTGGTTAGAAGTGTCTTGTAGTTGAATCCTGTATAATGTAATTAATCAGCAAACGTTTTTGAGCAATTGCATTTGGTTTCCTATGCTTCCTTGTTAATGCTAATTCCTGTATTTTATTCTGTAACAATGGGAATGTCATTCCCAGGCAAATCAGTACCTACTGTGGTGTTGTTACTTATAATGTAATTACTTATAAAGTCAGAGCTCAGATATCTTTGTCACTCTGTCATGTCTGCTTGCTCCAACAAGGTCTTGTAACCTTTACTTTTATAAACTGCCAATGTATGATCAAAAGAAGCTTGCTGTTTCTTGCAGGTGGTGTTTTGTTGGTGTTGAATTTTTTTTTTTAAGGAAATGGACCTTGCAATTTTTTATTTTTTTTTACTTAAGTGAAACTCTGAACATATGCAAAGACTTGCCAAATTGAGCAGCATGTGGAATCTGTGCCTTCCTTCATACTGTCACGTGTATTACCTCTCTGGAAATTTTGCTGGTTACCTAGCCTAGAGGATTCCATTCTGTCTTAAAAATAGATTATTTTTTTCTTTCCACCCAGCAAATGAAAGAAGTGGTAAACAGTGAAATTGCAGAGTTTATTAAATTTGCCCAAAATGCTGCAAAAAGCTGCTCCCAAGATTATGATGCCATCTCTGAAGATGCACTGCGTTACACTGAGGTAATTATCAATACTGTGTTTAATTGTCTTATTAAATAATCGTATTGGGTTCGTGATTAAGATACATAGGTACTGCTCACAGGATGTGATGTTCCCTGAACTTCTGCTGATTCCGTGTTGGGATTAGACATGAGAAGTTGCCATTTCCCTTATGTTGTGCAGCATGGCTTGGCCCATGGTTTATTGTAGCCATAAGGATACCATATAAGTGAGATCATTGAATACAATACTGTACAGAGATTTAGTCATCAATTAAGTAAATGACATCTTTATATTTCGGAAGGGACAAATTACATTTTAAGTGTGCATTTACATTAACAAACTGCTCCTAAAGATACACTACGTAAATAGAATGTTAAGGTCCTGAATATACACTGCATACACAAAATGTTAAGCTTTCCTCCACAGTAGCATGTTACACAGTCACTTTAATCAGAGGTTACTCAGGTTTTAATCGTTATCATCTGCAAGTTCATGCTGTGTTAAATATGCACTTTGATGATTCTAAATAATCAAACATTAATGGAACTTCAAATATCGTTCTTTGTTTAAGAGCACATTTCAGGAAAAGAATTCCAGAATACAGGTTTGTTAAACTTTCCCATCATTCGGTTGACTTGTTCTTGCTTGTTTTTACTGAAGAGTAGAACACTTAGGTAAATTCAGGAGAATTGCTTCTATTTCACCATAACACTTTCTTACATGTTTTTTTATGCAGAGGATAAATTTGTTCTCCCATTAACACACTGTTTGGGCACACGTGAGGACAAAAGTCTTACTTTTTTTCTAAAAATTGGGATTGGCTTTGTCATTTGATATCTTACACTTGTGTCTATTCTTCTCAATGATCTTGTCATCTGGTCGCAAAATGTGTCTCCAAACTTGAAGTCCTATTTATAGTTGATATCCTGAGTAAAAATTGAAACGGAGACACATTTAGGTTTTAACAAAACTTGCAGAAATAATTCATTCTAGTTAATAAATAAAACCTAAATGCCTTAAATATGTAATTCAGATATCAGAAAAAATTATCTTGGGATCTAGAGTTGAAATGAAAGTTTCAACACATACGGAATCTTCCTATGTCTTTACCTTTGCAACTTTTACTTTAGTCTAGTGTAAATTAGGTAGTAACACAAAAAAAACTAGTCTCTCTAAAAACCAAGGTAAATAAACTGAAAATAAAATAATTGTGTGGTTTAGCACAGTTCAAACAGTACTAAACTTTTTTTTTTTATGATTGGTCTGAGCCTCTATGCGTACATTGTTAGCCTGGCATATCATGAAGGGTTGAGGAGAATTTAGAATAAGTTTCAGTCCTGATACTGGTGATTGTAAGATTAGTATAGAGTTGTACTGGTATCTCTAAGATTTTTAAATACTATCTCTAACTGGAAAAGTTGACCCAAGTTTGTTAGCAATAGTCTGCTAAATATATCTGTATTCTCTACAAAAAGTATATGCAAATGCAATTGCAGAAAAAAACTTTTTTCAATTAAATTCTTAGGAAAGATACAAATGCATAAACTATTTTTTTCTTTTTATGTTAGGAATTATTTCGCGCTTGTATTGGACATGTGCAAAAGTATCCTGAGTTTTACACGCTCCAGGAGATCATGAGTATCATGGGAGGAAAATTTCATACGCAGTTGACCTTTAGGCTGGAAAAAAATCTTCTTGTGATGGTAATATCTTACGTATACGTGTTATTTTCAAATAAGTAGAATTACATCTGTATTGTGTTATGCAAGGATTGAGGTTTTTAACAAGTATTACTCAGTGCTTGGGTTAGGGGTTATAATTTATAATAAAAATTGTTAATGAAATTGGTAGTAAGGCTGTTAACACCATTCACTGTAAGTTTGCAATAAAAAGATTACATAAATAGTATATTTTTTAATTTAATACTGACTTTATAATGCACCTGCATAAATTCTTCATATTTTTTATTATAAGATGTGCAATGTTGAGTCAGTGTGATTTCAGTTAAAGCTATTTTCTGATGCTGCTTGATTTCTTCAAGGGTACAGCAAGACGTGGTAAAACAGATTTCCCTACCATGACTGTTCAGCTGCCCACAGATTATAAAACTGTTACATCTATTATAACTCCAGAAAAAAAGGCTTCTGTTATGCACAATGTAAGTAGCCTTTATATCGTGATTTTTAAGGCATACTTTGCAGAGAAGAGCAGTTTGATCCTTTTTATGTGCAGCATTCTTTTTTTTTTCATTTTTTTCTTCCTAATCTTACACATCTTGTAGCATAAGAACATATACTGTATTATTATTTGTTTAGTATTTTGTTTATAGCAATCACGCTGCCCTCTTCAAACACTGAGTTACTACCTTTTGAACCTAGTGCGTCTTGAAGGGGAGAGGTCCTGAAATTGGAACACGCTGTCTGTGAAATCTAGATGAAATTATTACAGTGTTGTTCATTTGAAACTTTGTTTTGCAGTTTCCAAGCTGGCACCTCTGTGCGTGAGCGTGTATACATACATACAAATGCATGTAGATGTACAGGCTTCTGATTTACAAAAGAAGTCCTGAGGTTAAGAAGAACTACTTTAGACTGTCTAGTTTTCTGAAAAGTCAATTAGGTTAGCTTACCCTGGGAATTTCTTTTGCTAAACAGCATAAACTCCAATTCTGAGATGACCAGTTTTTAGATTCCATTCCACCTTACTTTTAAATGTCCGATGTTTCTGATTGTGTACTTCCACAGAGAATGTCAGTGAGTTTTTCATTCTGTAGAATTCAGATTTTGTGACTCTCTATTCCAGATAATTTGTTATCCACTAATTTAAGGAGTTCACATATCAAACCCCAAACTTTCAACAGAGGCACTGTGATTGCAAAGACACTTTTGCTTGAGACAGTAGCAGAGGTGATATAGGAGAATGGTACATACCTCAAGAGATGTTACAGCTATAAACAGAGAATGTTTCTGATGATGTCTGAGGTGGCAGAAAAAAGAACTAGCTAGAATTTTCTTATTTCTCTCTCATGGTCCTCAGTGCTCCTGGGCTTCCATTATCTTCTTAGTCCTTGGTGGTTTTCTCCCACCTTGTGAGCGTTCCCAGCCTCTTCTCTTCATAGAAACCTGTACTCGTAATGCTTAATAATTTTATCATTTCAGTTCTGAATTTTTATTCTTTATGTTTCTATATTTGCTTTAAGATTCTTTGTATGTAATCTCTATTCAAACAACTGTGCAGTCTTAACCATACTTTAATGTTAGATGTCTTTATTGTGCTGTTCATTGACTCGTGAGAACATCTGTATGTGTGAGTGAATCTGTTTGGGTTTTTTTTCTTCTGCAATGCACTCCCATATTTCATAATCATCCAAATTGCTGTTCAACTTAGTAATTCAAATTAATAGCAATGACCTGAAAGGTACAAGTTAAGAAGATATATTTTCTTGTGCTGCAAGGTGGATGCATAACATTCAGCCAAAAACTTTCAGGGGAATTTTTTGCTTTTTCATTTGATTCTGAAGCCTAGCACTGTCATGGTATTTGGGCTTGGGGTGTTGGGGGGTGGGGGGAGAAGGGGGGCAGGTAATCCATGTTTATTTGGGTTTAGGGGTTTTCTTTGCGTTTAAATATGTGTATGTGTCTTTCTTAAAAACCTTTAAAGATGTAACTTTTTTCTGTTTAGGATATTAGCTCAGATTCAAATGCAGAAAAACTTGCTTTGAAGTACTTTCCTCAAGTTGTTTTAAGTAATCAATCATTATTTACTTTACTGAATAATCATGGACTAAACTACAAGGAACAATGGGAAATTCCAGTTTGTATTAAGATGATCCCTGTTGCAGGTATATTATGTTTTTGTTATAAAAACTACATTTTTGTCCATGAAGACCTTTATATATTCTCATAATGCTTTTTGAGCTGCCTGAAAAACAGGAAATTAGAAAATCTAGTAAAACCAACTGCAGGAAGGTAGAAGGTGCTCTGGTTTAGTTCATACAATAATAGAATAGTTTAATTTTGGTTTTATTTAAAAAAGAAAGAAAGTAAAGTTAATGAAAATAGTAATTGTAAATATAAGGTCAGATTTTTACCTCTTCTGAAGCAGCAGCACTCTAGAATGCAGCTATAAGAAAATAGTTACTCTTAAGTACTTCCATGTTTTTAATTTAAGGAATAAAAGTAATAAAACTTGACTTACTTAGTTCATACATCTTAAAGGGTGAAAATCTGAAGTTAATACTTTTCAGCTGTTGTCTGATAAGGAATTAGGGGCCTTTGTGTTGTGAAGAGAAATGATTAGTTTAATCGAAGTTATCATAAAAAATGAACTTTAAAAATCCATTGCTATGGTTTGTCTTGTGTTTTGAAGGAGGAAAGCTGATAGTAAGGTGATTTGATAGTTTTCTACACCGTGTTCCACCTTGTTACTTAGAATAGTAACAATCTTTAGAGGTATCACTGTTAACACGGATTTTGGACATAACAGCTGTTTTCCACTTGGGGGGAAAAACAAATCAGTTAAATGTCCTTTAGCTTTTCAAAACTAAGCTTGGCTTCTTGGAAAGAAAAGAACTGCATGAAGCTGTTAAAATTATCAAGTGAACTGATTTCCGTAAGTTAAAAAAGTTTTTATGAAGTTTTATGAAAAAACAAAGAGCAAACATTTTCTGGTATTAAAAGGACCTATTTACATCGTATAATAATGAATAAATGATTAATGTCTATGGAGATTACTTTTCCCATTTGCAACAAAAATGTTTTGAATAAACTGATTAACTTATCTGAGTGCTATACTTTAGTTGTGAAGCACTCCATCGGTAATAGGAGTATAGATTTTCCTCTCTTGCTACCCTTTCGGATTTGTTTTTTGTTTGTTTTTAAATACACTAGGGTTTTTTCATTATGAGTATTTATAATGGTTGTTGTCTTGGAATGTCTGTGTTGCGTGCATTTCACACAAATTTGTATAGCAGACTTCTGAATAGTAGTAAAAAAGCTGTCAGATATCTGCAAATCGTAGAAATGTTGCACTTTCCTACATGAAATTGACTTACTTTATCTGTAAAGTTATGCCTGACTCCTTTTATATCAGCTTTACAGTTTTAAAACTTACTGTTTAGATCTAAAGTTAACACCTAAAGGGCATTCAGAATATGTTAGCAATATATACTGTTTCTTGAACAGTTTCTCCTCTCCTTCCTTTTCTGCCTTCCCTGAAACTCACCACTTGCATTAATGATTTTTTTTTATCAACAATTTTTTTAATATTTTTTTATAATGTTCACCATGTGCCTTTGCTTTCTGTATAATATAGGGCAGGGTATTGCTGTTATTTTTGGATGAATCTATGAATTACTCATGTGTAAGTGTGTTAAGGTGTAAAGGCAAGAGTGGGGCAGCAGAGCCCGGACATAGTTACTGATTAGAAGAAATATAAACTGCAGCCATCATTTTGGGACAATGAGACTTAAAAAAACCCAAAACCAGTGAGGTTCATCAAAGGAAGAAAAAAAGATCTTCTTGGAAAATGGAATATATTTGATTATGCAGTATAAGGAATGATGTATCCTAAATTATTTTAGAAATTCTCTATTTATACAGCATTTAAAATATGATTGACTCTTAATGTGGTGTGTGTTGCTGCTGCAGGATCCTAATAATTCACACTGTATCTAGACATACTTTTATTTTCTGTTGTTAATGAATGAGAGGATAGTTTTTCATCTAGTGTGAATGTGGAATGGATTTGACCATAATTGGAAGTTGAAAGATTTGTTATTTAAATGATACAACAATCTTTTTTCCTTTCATTTAATATGTACTAAATCCCTTTCCATTCTTTAAAAGGTAGCAAACCAGCTAAAGTGGTTTATGTTGATTCACCCCTGCTGAGAAAGGAAATGACAGTAAGAGAGAGGAACCAAATCTTCCATGAAATTCCAATGGACTTCCTAGCAACTAAAACATCTTATGTTTCGATTTCTGATGTATCCATGGACAAACCAGATGAGGACAATTTGTTTCAGTGGGATGTATGTAGCCTCACCCCTTCTTAAATACAAAACTAAAAACCTATGTTGTAATTCCTAAGTTACTTGTTCCATGATAATGAAGGAAAATTTCGATTTCCTGTTAGTTTTTCTACTGCTGAGCTAGGGGCCCTATGTTTTAAAATGTCTGTCTAGTTCCTTTAAATGCTTCTATCACATCAGCTTCTCAGCTTTGATGTTTACTTCATTAAAATGTATTTTGATCAGTTTGTTTAAGTGGGAAAGTTTTATGAACTTTATTTCTCTTTTGCAAGGTCTTTTAACTCCTAGGACTGAAGATATTCCATCTTAAACACAGGAAATTTTTTTTCAATTACTGCCCCTCTCTCCCAACAGTCAAAATATGGACAGTAGAACATTTTTCATGTTTTCAATTTGACATCATCTCATTTGTGATTAACACATTCTGTTTCTTTGTTTGGATTTTTATTGTTTTTTTAAATACTATTATTTTTTCTTTCCTGTGGTAAGATGTCTTCTGATACCTACCAGTACAGGAAAATTCCTCTTCCAGATGACACAGGAATGGACTTTGATGATGATGTTACAGAACTGGAAACTTTTGGAGCAACTGTCAAGCTCTCAAGAACTCCTAAAATGGAAAGTACTTTTCCTGCAGTTAGTAACTCTGCTAAAGTTTTATCACATGGCCCAAAAATGGGGAAAAAAAATACATCTACCATAAACAGTGGAAGTGAAGAAGGAAAAAACACCACTTCTGAGCAAGGAGGTTCAGCACATGCCAGCATGCAGCTTCCATCATTAGATGGCATTCTGTGCTTCAGCCCTGAAGAAAGTTCGTCTCATAAAAGCTTTAATTCAGAGGCGGTAGGACTGAACAAAGTACAGCATATCATGACCAAAGAACTATTGGACAGTAAAACAAAATTAAGTACTCTATCTAATGCTGTTAGTTACAAGAAAGAGTCGCATGCTGCACAAAAAAAAGAGACATACATTTCTTTATGCAGTAGTGACACGGATGAAGAGCGTTTGATAATTGATACAGAATGTAAAAACACTGATTGTTGCAAAACAACTATATCAAACACTATTTCTCATACCTCAGCAGAGACTTCCAAATCACCTTCCCCCAACCAGATTCCATTAGCAAGCATGACTTATTGCTCAGATATCATGGATCGGGAAAAAAATGCCTCCAGAAAGCCTACAAGAAAGTTGTCAAAAGAATTTGATCCTGTTGGACAGATTTTGAAAATGCAAACTGAACTTCTCAAGTCTCCTTCCCAAAAAGCTCATGAGCAGCCAGTGGTGAGCTGTGATAATTCTAATGCTGTGCCAGCCCATGTGCCTCAATCTCCAAAACCATTGGTGACCTCAAGCACAGAAACCGTGCCAGCTCCTGCCTTAAATCCCAGTAGCTCATCTAGAAATACCTGGACCTGGCTTTTTCAGGGAGTGCCAAAGAGTAAGTAATTGTGTTTATCGTGTAAGGAGTAAAATTTCAAATTTTCAGTAAAGTTGAACAGAAGAACATTTTGACTCCTTCATCTGAAGAACATCCTAATAGTACCTCTGTTACATTTATTTAGAGATACAACTTATTTTTTTTTATTATTATTTTACATTTTATTTTATATTTTAACAATACCTTTTCTGTGTGAGAATGACTGTCTTGCACCCATAAGGGACCATTTGGGGGGCTGTTTTGTTCACAGAGGTGAATGTGAAATATTGGTTTACTTTAAAGAAACAAAAAGTTGTTGTATACAAGGTTTTTAAGGAAGGAAAAGAAAACATTTGGTAGTGAAATGAGTAACTTTTCCTCAGAAATTAAAATACTTGAGTAGTCTGGTATGCAGCAATAGTTTCTTGTCAATCAAAAATGGAATTATTTTACATTTTTGGTAGACAAAAAATTTAATCAAATTTGTCCTGGTTTTTGGCTGGGATAAAGTTAATTTTCACAAGAAGCTGGGAGGTGGCACAGCCTGGACAGCTGACCCAAACTAGCCAAAGGGATATTCCATACCATATGACATCATGCTCAGTATATAAGGGGGGAGCTGACCAGGGAGGAGGGATGGCTGCTCTGGGATGGGCTGGGCATCAGGTTCCAGGCGGTGACCAAATTGTATTGTGTATCACCCACTTTGTATATTCTTCTGTTAGTGGTGGTGTTATTTTCCTCTTTCTTTGCTGTCCTATTAAAGTGTCCTTATTCCAACCCATAAATTTTACATTTTTCTTCCAATTCTCCTCCCCATCCCACCGGGGAGGAGAGGAGTGAGCGAGCAGACTCATGGGTGCTTAGCTGCCGGCAGGGGCTAAACCATGACAAAATTATGCAATTAAAACTTGAAAGAAAACTTGAAATTTAGGTGTCTTAAGTTCTGAGACTTCCAGTTCAGTTGCTGTTTCTTAGCTCCTAGCAATATGTTCCAGAAGACTAGTGAGGACTTGCTCCAAGTCACCTCTCCAAGTTTTCAGGCATTTAGCTGGAAATTGAACCTATGCTACACCCAGACCTCAACCAAGAAGGAGAAGTCTTGAAGATCCTAGGGACCATGAACTTCAAGTTTTTTTTCATGTGCCTGAGTTGCTTCTGAGCTCTGTACAACTGAAGTTCAAGGACTTTATTGTGTAGGTAAAATGATGGGAAAGCAGGCAGGTTGCATCAGGACAGATACTATTTTTCTCAAATACTTAATTCCCATTAATCAGTGCTTTTTTGGTGGGAAAGTATATTTCACTGGTATTCTCTGACTAGCTGTTCATTTGATCACATAGGAATTAATTACTTAATCTGTAATGGAAGCAGTTAAGTAGTTCTGGTTTAGTTCAAATTGTGTTATCACGTCCTACATTTTTATCAATTTAACTGAATTTTAGTAGTTACTAGAAGACCATGTCTTCTCCCTCAGTTTGAAGGGTTGAGCAGCATATTACTCTTTCTGTTTCTCCTCTTAAAAAGCCAGAGTGTGGAATCCAGGCGTTTGATTACGGAATTTTTTTTTGATCTTTTTTTAATAGAGGTAGTGAAACCAATATTGCTAAGATGCTGAAGTGTGACACTGAAAGAATAGAAAGTATAGTTCTACAACCTCTATGCATGTCTTTTTTTTACAGAAAGCCAGAACTAAGCTAAGTATTTTACTAACAGAAAATTATTTCTGATCACTTGGATGATAATATATCACATAGTATTCATTTGCTCAAAGATGCACATAAATTCTAAATTTAAGTTAAATGTATTTATCCATAGCACTACAGCAACACCTATTTATAATTGTAGTTTTGACACATATTTCCATGTATCTGCAGGACAAAAAACAGAACCGGATAAATTTTCAATAAATAATCTTAAACAAGTTGGAGTTTTGTTAAAATATCTCCAAGGGATGCAGGGATGTTTGTTAAGCTGCCTCAAAGCTGCACTTGGAGATCTAATAAATGTTTCTTTTGAATATGCTAGTATTGAAATTGAAGTTGAAGCAAACTCAGTTAGGAACAGATGCTTATGCTACCGTCCAAACCTGAGGCTTGAGATATTTCGGTAACTGATAAATGGATGGCAGTTATCAGGTGGCATTCATTGTAAATAAAATTTTTGTGTTTGTGCTGAGTGTGGCTTAAAAACCAGCTTTTGAACTCCATTTGTACAAGAATGAAGTCTCATGGCTCTATTTGTATGAGAAATCTAATGATTAGGATAAAATATGTGGGAATATTTAAAAATATACTTGTTAGAAGTTACAGTGGACATTTTCCAATTTATTTTTTTTTTAATACATAAATGACTTCCTGTGCCTAATGAGATGGTTTTCACCCCAAAATCTTAGAAAACAAAACAGATCCTATTAAAAAAATTTTAAAAATCTACTGCAAGAGAAGAATGTTAATTAGCTTCATGGTAAAGAACGTGCAAGGTGCTCATTTTCTGTTTTATTTATTTTCTATAGGAAAGCTGCCAAATGAACTTCAGATGCTTGAAGAAGACCCTTCAGAGTATAAAGCACCTCAGGATGGCAACCTTGTGTATAAGCTATTCAGTTTGAATGATTTGTTGTTACTTGTGCGTTGCAGTGTGCAAAAAGTGAAGTCATTGCCACGATACCATAAAAAGAAAAAAGCCCAAAAGGTATAGATTTTGCTGTTAGCTTTTTTGTTTTGTTTTGCTTTTTTAAACAGTTGTGCTCAACTGGCATCTCTGGGATTCCCAGTCCTTCATAGCACTTGTGTTTTCACTCAAACAATTAGTATGTTTCATTGTACATGTGTGTGTCTCCTTTAAGTAAATATTTGCTGTAGGAGTAGAGGGAAGAATAACTTATGATTTCTTTAAACCTACTTGATTAGAAGATAAGGAAGTGTGATTCTGCATTTCTTACTAGGACTGCATTGCAGTAATGTGTGTGGGTAGTTATACTCATGTAAATTAATGTCAGATTGAACTATTCTTTAAAGTTAATGCAGTAGTTAGGGTTTTGGCCCAAGGCTTTGGAATGTTCATGATCATAAATACTTTCATGCAGGATTCAGCCTTGCTATTTTGCCTAGTTAAGCAGAGAAGTAGGAGATAGAATGAACAACAGATACATTCAAAGATAAAAAGAGATCCTGTTCATTCTACTTGAAAAGACTATGGTATGCATCTTAGCAAATCATTTGTCTTAAGGAATAAAATGCTTTAAATGTAAGTGTAATCCAAATATTCCTTGTAACATCAGGAGAAGGACAGTTTATTCTGGAATACTCCATGATTTATTATTTTGTCAGGAGTCCTCCGAATCATTGAACAAATTCGATGTGGTATCTCCCTCCCCAGAATACCAGAAGAAAGGCATTTTGAGAGGTGTTTATGCTTTGTTGAAATGGCAATAAGTCTTTGTAACTCTGATTACTTGCTAAGATTCCATGCTCAGAAACATATTTTGAAGAGATACCATCTCTTTGCTATTACTCCACTGCTTATAAATGCCTGTGAATAGCTCCTTAATTTGTTAATCAGAAACTGAGCACTGTTGTTTACTTTTTTAAAATTCCT